AAGGCGGTGGTGGTCGTGAGGAGGAACGGGAGTAGCAACAAAATTACCGCGCAGGCGGCGACGGCGACGGCGACGGCGACGGCGATAAGGGAAAAGGCGATGAGAGAATTAAGGATGAAGAAGGTGGAAAAGGAAAAAGAGCAACAGGAAAAGTTAGCGTTGTCTCGTCATCGGACATTTGAATGGCTAAAGGAGCTCTCGCTCTCGCTCTCGCATGCAACCTTACCCTGTGACTGTGAGCCTAATTAGCCTTACATACCTACACCACTCCTACTCTCTCTCTCTCTCTCTCACTCTCTCACTCTCTCATCAACAATTACAATGCCACGCATGCTTCTAATTCTCTCTCTCTCTCTCTCTCTCCTCTATTTTTCGTTCTCTCACTTAATGATGCTAATGGTGAAGTCTTGTTTATGATTATGGATGGGTTAAGGACATAAACTTTTCTTTTTCTTTTGATGATTTAGGCTTTATAGTTTCAAAAAAAAAAAAATATACTTTGAAGTTATAAGATTTTCCATCTTGGGCTAATCTTATATATAGAATATGGTGGGATGAATGAAATGGACGAATTTTTTATGATGCTGTGGTCCAATTATATTCTCATTTGTATAGCTTGGTTACAATTATAAATTTTTAATTGTATAGGTTTATTCCTGAAGTAGACTGAATCATTATAATAATAAAAATGTTGCATGAGAGCTCAAACTTATTGGCCAAAAGTGTGTTTTTACTATACAATTGATATAAACGTGACTTCCTTGATAAGAGAGGTAAATAATTGTCCTTGTTGAACAAGGTTCAATACTCATCAAAACATTATTCGATAATTTAGTGGAATAAAATTTAATTATAATCATGAGATGTTACATCTATATGAGGTAAAAAGTAAGAGTTCACTTGTGATTATTGCATTCAATTCTTATCATTTGTTATATGTAATGTTATTTTAATCTCACTAAGTGGTTGTAAAGAGAGAAAAAAAAAATGCTCACCAAGTTAAGTTAACAATAATATTTTTGTGTGAGTTCTAAGTTAGAAAACAACTATGAGGTATCTTCTCCTCAAATGAAGGATTCGAGAAAGAACTCTCTCGTCCTTCGAGATCGAGTGTTTGTTGCCCTTCTCTCTTGAGAAGTAATGGATTAGGAAACCTTTCTAGTTCAAATTTGAAAGAAAGGAAAAGCGCCCTCCTACCTCCAAGGAAAAAGATAAAAATTTCCTTTCTTTCCTTGCTGCAAACAAAATATATAAAAAAAGGCCTTATAATATCATTTTAGATCCCCATTTTCCAGTTTTGACAAATTCAGAGTTATGTTATATTTTTCCAATTTCATAATTAGTCACCTAGAATAACTAAGACAATACACCCTACCGAACCAATTTCATAATTAGTCACATAGAATAACTAAGACAATACACCATACCAAAATGAAAACAAATCGATGAAGTGATTAACTTTTGTTTTTATAATGAGTACAACAACATGTGAGGGTAGGAGGGTGGGAGTCTGAACCCAATATCTTTTAATCAACAATAAATGTAACCAGTTGAATTATATTTAAATTGTGATGAAGGGATTAATTTTAGTAATGACAATCCTAATGATAATTCTAAAAAGACCCCTCTAAAACTAAAACTAACAAAACAATTTACTAATAATAGTTCAAATTAGAAACTTATCTGAGATGTTTCTATTCAAATGTCTCCAATTTAAAGAGAGAAAAGACAGCAATAAAAATAAAATAAAAAAGAGGAATAATAATGATTCATCGAAACATGAAAAGGCAAGCATTTAATTACCATATAGCCTAGTGTATATTACCCTATATCATATATAAAAGTAAAAAAAATGATTGACAACGGTGGCCCAGACTGATGGAGAGGTTGGGCGTGAGAGAGAGGTGTTGGGCATTGGCAATAGTGATGGCCATAATTAAAGTGTAATATTGAATATGCTTTATGGGTGAGAGAGCCAATGGAGAGTGGAATTGGACAATGCCATTGGATTGTTCTTCTACAGTCACACTGTTCTAAAATGTGTCTTTTAAAAGCAATTTTTGCAATCACTTATTTTCAGCAAGCTTTTGTAGGTAATTTTAGATGCAGCAGTTGGTTTCTAAACTTAAGGTCAGAAACTATATATGTGGTTTAAAATACATCCAACAAGAAGTTATGTAAAATTATTATCAAACACTAGCCAAACACAAAGTTTTGTGATCAAAACTGCACATTCAGAATTATAAGATCCAATAAATAAAAAACATAAAAAGGCTATCAACCTTGGATTAAAAATAAAAATTGAACCATATAGATAACAGGGAAGGTCTAGACAATATGTTAAAAAAAGGTTCCAGATGAGCATATATATAAATAACGGGGGAAATTGACATCCAACAAAAAGTTTGATCTCGTTGACTACATGTCTTTTGATATAGAACAAACTCTTTCTCAAATAACCCTGCTTTTCATTTGCACAGTATTTATTTTTGGATAATGTAGATAGTGAAACCAACTTGTCAAAGCATAGAAAATGGCAGAACGTTCAACAGTGGGACAAGTTTCTAACTTTCTAGTATAAAGAACCTCCACTAGGTGCAGCTTGGAGTGGCTAAATGAAGACTTCCAAAAAAAAATCAGTTTTTTGTTTTGTTTTTGTTTTTGTTTTTAGGTTGTGGTTTAGTTATGTGGGGGTAAAGTAAATATGAATGTTGACCACTCCATCAACATATGAAGCATGATGAAAACAAGTATATAGCAGAGCGAAACAATAAAATGTGGTCTCGTGGTCCTCAATGACTGAGTGGTTATGTTTCACACTCAAATTTGTTTAACGGCTGATAGCAACCTAGCAACCTTTTTACAGGCAATTTATCCCAAGCATACAATTTTTTGTTGTAATGACAGCAACACACTACTTAGCCTGAATCCACTTAACAGAGGCTCCGGTAAACCGTGAGCCTTGACTTATATTTAGCCCCAACACAAATGCACAGAAAGAGTCTAAGGAAGGATTCCACCAAAATCCAAGCTCCACGTAATGACTAATGACACGAAGCAAAAAAGTGCACACCAAGTATGGAACAATACACCTTGATCAACTCATATAGAAGAATTTACACCACTCTGTCCTTTGGTGTGGACAGGCTCATCACCATGCACAAGTTTCTATCTCCTAGACTTGGCTTAGTTTGAAGGATCCAAGTCTAGATCTCAAATCTCCCTTCCCAAATTTTGACAAAGGAGATCCCAATGTTCCGCCCCATCATTAGGTTAAAGAATTAGATGAAATTTAAAAAATGAGTACCACCAATATTCTTTATGTTCTTGTTGTAAAAACATGCATCAGATGCCAACATGAGACAATTTAATTCAAATGCAACCTACATTGCATGGATTCCATCCCCCTCTCTCTTTCCTGGTACGAAGTTACAAGACATGCAACACTTGTACCACAATTAGTTTCCCTTGATAAACTAATAAAAAGCTACTACCTGCAAACTAAATCATAGTATTGCAGTCCCCATTAAAGTTCAACGCTCATTGACTACATCTGAAATGTCCTGTATATTTCAGTCAACTTAAAAATATGATCATATTGCTCAATACAAATAACTTCTTTAAGGACACCTCATCTCACAGGGAAAAATTGTTTTCCTGGATCTCATGAATAGAACGGGCGGCCTTTCACGTTTTATAAATATTGTTTCACAATGGCAATTAGAAAGCAGTTAAATCTTGTATACGCCTAATCATAAATGCTAGCCTAGATAGAACCAACGAACCAGACTACCTTGAGATGAAGGCTTACAGAAATGATAAAAAATCCATCCATCTAGTGTTTTTCTTGATGCCATAAGCTCATTAAAAATCTTCAAGTTCAATAAGTAACAAAAACTATCTGAATCTCTGGCTCTCTTTTTATTTTTGTTCCAATCATCAACCTTAGGTCTCCCTGTAGAGATAACGTGGACATTTTTTCATTGAGTGTGAGACTAGTGGTGGTTGGTTTTTGAATTTTTGGTTTTCATTTTTGTAGCCTTCCAATTAGAGTTTCCTTCAACAAAAAATTTGTGCAACTATTCTATATCTTTTGTAGTCGTCGAGTGGCGTTCTTTATGCTGTCATGAGCTTGGGATACCTTGTCTTCCTACCCAGTTTTTGTACAATATTTCTCCAATACAAAGTATCCCATTGAAATAAAATAAAATCAAACTAAGATTGAAATACTCTTGTTGACAAGCTCAATAAGTAGAACATACGACTTGCAGAGGTCAAAATATAATCCAAAGCTTTTCTCAGGTGGATGGAGAGGATACTTGATTCCTTTACAGAGGATTAAGGCTAGCATCTTCAAAATTTCACGAGATGGGAACTACAAGTCATGACTTGGATACGCCACTAAATTTTAAACAATATACTAATTCAAACAATGAATGAAAATGAGGATATACAATGCTTAATGATGTCAGTTCCAGGGATATTTAATGGAAACTATGAACATATGACACAAATTCCGTTCCTAGTACCATTTCCCCTAAGGATGGTCTTCTGCAATACAACATTAAAGAGTACTCTTGACAGAACGTATCGAACTGTTGACAAAATAAACATCACTAGTCGTCAAATTCAAATGATCGACAAAAATTTACACAGAATCAAACACATACCTAGGGTTTTACAAAGCGCTGCATAACTTCTTCCCAATTTAATTGCCACAATACCGCCCAAAAACAACAATGATGCATTTATGCAAGAACTAATTGGCATACTCTGATTAAGTAATAAGAACTCAATTAATTGCTAAAAAAATTCAGTTCCCGGAATAAGAAACCACAAAATTCGAACATACAGTACCCAATGCCACTACAGATTCATAACTAATAAGCATGTCTTCAATACTATGTGAAAAGGGGAACCTGGCTCGTAAATCTTCCAATCAATCGTCATCGTCCCTCTTCTTTGGCTTCCTGTAATTTTCTTCGATGTGCTTGGCCACCACAAGCCCAGTATTGGCGAGCTTCCTAATGTTGGGAACATTGTAATTTTGAGCCACATAAATTCCAAGCACGGTTCCCGCTATGAAGGAGAAGCTACTTCTGATAAAGCCCATCGACGTCCTGTTCTTTTTCCGGAAACTGAAATTACCGGCAAATGGAAAGACGATCGGAACTGGGGTTTTTTGCACAGAAAAGATATAATTATAGGGCGCTCAATTAATCGCTCAGACACATACTTGTGCGCTCTCCCTCGTCGGCGGGCTCAACCTCTCCCACTAGGGTTTATCGCTTGCACTCGCCAATCGTCAATTTTTCCCTCCCGCTCGGCGTTGGCCGTCGATCACTCTGAGTCTCTCCCCCTCTGCCTCTCTCTATTTGTATTGGTGCGACTTGTGGAGGCTTTCTTGTTCTGCACGGACCAGATCGGATTTGCCGGGTCGTCTCCATAACAGCAATTTGTGGAAATTTCTAGGGCTTTTTTTTCTTTTATTTTTTTATTTAGTACAATTTCTAGCGTTTTTATGTAAAAGAAAAGCAAAAGAAAAAACTTTTGCAAAAGGGATAAAAGTTGGAATGGCCCCTTTTAATTGGACTAGTTTCAGCTGAATTAATTCAGAGTTTTTAGTAAACAAATTTCAATAATTTTTTAATGATAAAATACATTTTTAATCCTTCCAATTTTATTTGGTTTCTATTCAGACTCTTAGTTTTTCAAACTGTCATTTTTTATCTCTAAGATTTTAATTTAGTTCATTACTCGATATTTAAATTTTTAAATATTGAATTTGAATTGTAATTGATCCTCGAATAGTTGACGTACCACGGTGTTGTTGTGTATTTTTCAAATGACTTAACAAATTTTATTATATTTTAATCTCACGTATGACCGTACAACATTTGGTGTTGGGAAACACATTGGAATTACTTGAACTCATTCCCTCTCAATTAACACTAGTCCTTTTTACCAATGAATCACCCATGATGATTGTGCAGTTGAACTTTAAAAAATTTTACCATATTTATTTTTTATAAAGTTTTCATATGTCTTGCAAGTGCTTGAAGGCTTGAGGTATTACCTATCTTAGATCTAGACAACTATCTTTGATTAAAAGACTTTTGTTGTATTAAAAAATTATCTTCGATTAAAGGTTCATGAATTCGAATCTTCACCCTATTTATTGTACTAATATATATATATATATATATATATATATCCAAACAACGATCCTATGTGTTAATTCCATGAAAAAAAAAGACAGAAATTCTTATGTTAATGGGAAGCAATAAAGATAAACATATATATATTTTTTTAAGAATGAATAGACATATTCACCCTTTCATTTTTTCTAATACAAAGGATGGAGATTAGAATTCGACATTTTGATTTTAGATAATATCTTAATTAATTAAATTATACTCTGAGAAACATATTCTAACTTATTATATTGAATTGATTATGAACTAAAATTAACTTATTATGTTTTAATTGATGAACTAAAATAAAAATGAAAAATACTTTGGTCCGGGTAAGGGACCTAATTCAGTATTTTGTGCTGACAATACTGAATTATCATAGCTCAAACCATATACCACCGAATTCTCACCCAAACGACCAAAAGCCTCAAACCTACAAACAACAACAAATGTTTTGGAACCCACAATTATATGTGTGACTCAGTCAGTCAGACTGCAATATCATGACGGACATGTTTGAGAATCACCGGGATTACAATGTCCGGCGAGCTCAACTGAGGCAGGTGGCCCTCCGATTCCATGACCTCGACGATGGACTTGGCGGCGATATTGTGGTGCAGATACTCGGCCACCACCACCGGCACCGCCATGTCCTTGGCGCTCTGCAAGATGTGACACGGCACCGTCACCAGCCCTAACAATGGCCTGGTATCGATCTCGAATATGGTCTGCATCACGCTCAACGCTATGTCCGGCCTCATGTTGAAACACGTCCGGCTGAACTCTTGCACCGCCCCCGATTTCATGTCCCCGCCCACTGCCAGCGGCGCGAACCCCGCGCACCACGCTTCGTAATTCGACCGCATCGCGTCCAGTATCTGCTGTATATCCTCTTCCTCGAATCCTCCGTAATACTCCGCGCTGTTCAGATACCTACGCCATCAATCCAGTCCACCAAAAAACTTACGGCGAATTAGAACTCCTAATTTAATTTTGGTACGCCCCATCTATTGATTTGGGCTTAATTCCAAAAATATAAATATATATATATATATTAACACAATATAATGAGTTATCAATTTTTTTATCAATTTTTCTAAAAAGTACCACATTGACATTTTGTTTTTATCGTTATCACATATCATTCAAGTCCAATAAACAAATATGTGGATGAGATTTAACCTAATCAAAAAATCAAATTAAAACTTTTAAAATCAAATTATAGCTGAAATATTTGTTAAAGAACCATTTGAAACTTCAAAGTCAGGAATTATACTAGATACTGAAAGGGACAGAAATTAAAAATTAAACATAAACTATAAATTAAATATACAGTCGGCTGATGTCAATTTCTTATTAGGCTTATTAGAGCACGCCCTGAGGAAAATCCTACTCTGAATGATAAGTAGAAAATCTTAAGAATTCTTGCCCAGGTCAGACAAGAGGCAAGTATTTCTCAATTTTAAAATTATACAACAAAATTGAAATTAAGTAAAAATACAACCAAAGATGTAATTAAACTAAAAAACGACAGCTACAAATTAATATGTCCGTGTCTCAATTATTGATTTAAACTTGTGGGTGGAGAATTAGGAGTAGCCATGTCAAAGTCAAACCTGGGGGAGGCGGAGAGCAAAAGGAGCTTAACGAAAAGATCCGGCCGAATAATGGAGGCGATGAGTCCGATCATGGCGGAGAGTGAGTGGCCGACGAAAATACAGGAAGTAATTTGAAGCTCTTGTAAAATGGCGAGGAGATCGTAAGCCCAGCCCTCGACCGTGGAGTATCTGTCGAAATCGAAGTAATCGGGGTTGGTGGTTCCAGCGCCGATGTTATCGAACAGCACGATTCGGTAATCGGCGATTAGATGAGGGACGAGGTGCTTCCAAACCGACTGGTCGGTTCCAAACCCATGGCCTAAGACCACGACTTGTCGGCCTGAACCAACAACGTGGACGTTGTGAGCTTCTTCTACGAGACCCATAATATGCTTTAATTTGTGAGCTTCTTCGTCGAGTGGTGCTACTGCTGTTGAGCGATCGCGACGGCAGCGCTGTAACGGCCAAGAGTCAATTTGGTGAAAGGACTCCAGTGATTCCACGCCTCAATAATCGAATGCCACGTAAGCATATTCCGGATTGTTCTATTTAACAAATTCTGTGATTCTTTTATATTCCTCTCCTCTCAAAATCAAACACGTGTATAGTTGTTATTTAGCTTTTTATTCTCCCAAAACGTAGCTGTAGAATATAATGATTCTCATTTTTTTTTGGTACGCAATTGAATAGAAATATACAGTGTTGTAATTTTTTAAGGAAGAAATTTCCCTTTTATTCTCTAGCTTTTACGTTGATTAGCGCTTGACGAGTTGAGGTGGAGCGTTTGGGAGCTGTTGGCATGGACGCGTGTCTGCGTGGCGAGGTTCAGAAGAAAATGCCTCGGAAATGTGAGAGCTCAACGCTTTGTCTGGCGCTTGCATGCACGATGACACCTGCCCTGTGTAAAATTTGTTGGTTATTTTTTTGTTTCGAGTTTATTGTTCTCAAATTTCTAAGGATCGATTCGATAACGTTATCGTATGATAGTTGAAAAGTGCTCTCAGTTATACACGTAGACCAACTAAGCTGTAGAACTATCTTGATACTTGATATAATAGGTTTATTATATAAAGTAAGCTTAAGAAAATGAAACATAAAAAACGAAACTATTTTCTATAGTTTCTAAAATTTAATCTTATTTATTATAAATATTTTAAAGATTTTATAATAAAAAATAGGATATTTTTGTCAAAAGAAAAACAGAAACAACAATTAGGAAATATGAACGTTACGAGTCATAAATAACATAATTCTTCCAACTAATTTTGGATTTCTAATTTTTAAAAGAAAATTTTAATAACAATGCAAACAAATTTCTTTCAAATTAGAGAAAAAATAACTTCAATTAAAATTAATTTGCCACAAGGCTACAATTTAAGGGATTTCTCCTTGAGTAATAACTTGAAGCCACGTAGGAAAATTTGAGGTCCAAAAAAGGCGTGATGGAGGAAGACCTTGCTTTGGCAGCATATGAGCTGAGAGATTACAAGTGCGAGAGAAGTGAAAGAAATTTATCGAGACAAATTCCATAGTCAAACGATGAATCTCCATAAGGCATTGAAATCATCTCTTATCGTTGAAGAAACTCCATGGATTAGCTTAATTGAAGAGAGGAGCTAGCAATCCGATTCAACAATCAGGTGAGGTCTATTGAAATTTTTGGCAAATTTGAGACCTTCTCATTCTTAAATTGAAGAGCATATGAATTGATCCAACATATTAAAATTTATAATTTTGATGGAACTGTAAACAATTAAATTACGTTATCCGCATTTGACTTCTGAAACTATTATCAAAGAATCGCAAACACATAGGTATTTAAATAATAGAGAGAAATAAACTTTGATTTGCTTTAATAGTCCCGTTCCTCTATAACATAAGAGGTGGTTTACTAGGTTTAGCAAAACCTTAAAATTTATTTTTCAACTCGCCAATTAAACAATGACTACGACACTATTTTACGTTGTACATATTAAAATTGTTTGAAAATTAAATTTATATGAAAATTAGGGATGAAATTTAGTTATTACAAATTAAATATTTGATTTTTCTTAATACTAAAGTACCAAATGGAGTGAGAAGTGACGAAATTAGATGCTTTAAACCAATTTATACTAATATGATTCATTTTTATGTTAATTTCTACTTCCATCTCTATAAATTATGAGCTATATATTATATCTAGAGATCGTGAATCAAACTGGTAAACTTTAATGATTTTTTAGACTATATTTTAATTAGTTACCCTAAAATTTCAATATGTTGAATGTAGTTTCGTAAGTATTATTTAATACTTTCTATTTATAATTTAATATATATATTTTTTTAGTACAACATGTAGGAGTGGAGATCAAAATTCACAACTTGAGATATATATGAATTACTGCTGAACTATACTTGTTTTGGCAATTTAATATTTAATTCTATAATTAGTAGGCAAATCTTATATTCATATTGTTTGTCTATATTTATTATATTGCCATTGCATATGAGCTATCATATTTCATCTCAGTAGAAAGTGGGCGACGATGGAGGTGCGGCAACGATCGACTCGAACATCGTTTTGGGATATGTGGAGGCGATCAAATCTTAATTGTCTTGAGATCTCTTATCAGCATGATTTTTGGAATTTGCCTAATCTTTCCTTACCTGCCATAGTAGAGATAAGACAACGTTGGATGCAATTATCTCCCTCCAAATCCTAAATAAGGGCGTCATAATTGACAATATTTTTCAATTAATTGAAGAATCTACCCCAAAATCATTAAATGAGACTGTGGAGGTTGGAGAAAATGTTTGGTGGGCTAAAATTTGTTCATATTCCTAGTTCTTTGAACATACAATGGCAAAGTGTAATGATCGTTTCTATGTCCTTTGAGATAATTTTTTTTTATAGCTTCTATTGGTGGTGCATTGTCACCCAAATCAAATTTCATCCCGTACAGATTTTATTTAATTTTATTTTTTGAAAAATAGTCCATGTACAGATTTGTAATATGTATGTTTTTTTTACCAATGTATGGGGTAGTTGAATACAAAACCATTTTTCATAATATAAAGACAAAAACTATTTTTAAATTTTTAAAAGTCAACTATAAATGAAAAAATATTTATTAAAGTAGACGACACACATAGATTTCTAAAAATAAAAAACTAAAATATTTAATTAAAAAAAAACACCGAACTATCCCATTTATTTGAAAGTATCACTATAATTCAAGAAACACAACACAATTATCTATCTCACGAACTTCGTTTCATATTAAAATTCAGCTTATTTCGCATGCTGATTTTTTTCACAATTCTCTTTTAAAAATAATAGTTTATTCTAAATTTGTTCTCCTTTCAGACCTAATCTAAACAAGCTTCCATGTTAATTTCTATACCATTCTATATTCCACCTATTAATCTTTGGCTCATAATATTAATAGATATTTATTCGAATAATATTGTTAAAATGTTTATGAAAACATGCCTTTTTCTTTAAACTAAAATTAAGTACAATCCCGACCGTATCATTTAAAAAGCCCAATGCCAGCCAACAAATAAAAGGAAGGGAAAAAAAAGAACCATCGGATGAATAAAACCACTCAATAATTTTTCAAAGCTGAGCTAGAGCAAGTTATATTCCAGACCCACAGTACACGCCACCGCACTCAAGACTCAACCAATAATAACACGGCAAGGCCTTTCACCACACGTGTAAAAGGCACGTGCACTAGGCCAGTGCACACCGTTCTCTAATCGATATCCTCAACGCCGTTTCTGCGAGTCTCAGTTTCTGCCCGTTTCCCCGTTTCCGACTCGATACAGGTCGACTGTGGGCGCCCCGATCATCCAATTCCACACTTTTCTTCTCTTTGAAGAGCCAAGTCGTTGAAAGCAGGGGCTGGTTGATGTAATCGAACTGCGTATGCGAGAGCAAAATTCGCCATCGGCTGATCTCTACAAGCTTGCTCTCTCGAGCTGAATTCATGGCTCCGGCCATCTCCGAGAGAGTCGAGCTCGCCAAGTTTTGTCGCTCGAAGGACTGGTCCAAGGCCATCAGAGTCCTCGACTCGCTCATATTGGAATCCTGCACCGTTCAAGACATATGGTCTTATTCGTTTCTTGCTCATTTCTCTTTGACTCGCTGTCTTTTGATTTTTATTCATTCTAAAAGAAAAACGAAGAACGGGTGAGTCGATTCAAGCTTAATTATCGAAATAACGGTTTTGCAGCAATAGAGCATTCTGTTACAGCCAATTGGAGCTGCACAAGCATGTAATTAAGGACTGTGATAGGGCGCTTCAACTGGATCCCTCGCTTCTTCAAGCTTATGTCCTCAAAGGTACTTATTGAATTAGCTCTTTCATCTTTTAATTCTGAGCTGATTCTGATAATTCAATAATTGACGAGATAAAATTGCAGCTGTAACCTTAATTCTTACACTTCCGGAGCTCGCTGGAATGTCGATTTGAGGGCCTTGGATTTTAGTTATTCTCTTTCTTTATTTCTCACTCCTAACTAGTGAATGAGAGCAAGAGCTGAAGTTGAAGGGATTAACAACTAGAGGATGCATATACCGTGCATCTTCTGAACTTGGCACTGCAGCACCCGGTGACAAAAATTGTATAGGAAACTAGGCCTGGTGGGTGGGTGGGGGTATGGAATTGCATCCTTCTGTATTTCATGTGGAGAATCGGTGAGGAGCCTTAGTTTTGTTCATTTCATAGGCGAGGATGTGTTCCAAACTTGCAGGGACCCTATAAATTCTGATGGATAATGTGATGTTTGTTTTATGTCTAATGTTAAGAGTTCCAAGTAATTTGTTGGTGTAGCATACTACCAAACAACAAGAACGTGCATGTAGGAGAACTGCCTAAGTAATAAATATTTGGTGTTCCTAGTTTCAACTAAAAGTTTTTGCTGCTTTGCAACGTTACTGGATAACAGAGCATTTAAATGCTATTGGGATTTTTTTTTTGTCTTTATCTTCAAAAAGAGCTGTATTTTTTGGATAATTCACACGGGGTTTTTTGTTTGTTAACTTTTCTTTTTGTTCTTTTTTCAATTAGAAATATGTGGAGATTTATGGACAGATTTGTTGAGCTCAGTCTCGGATTTTTGTTGTTTAGGTCGTGCATATTTTGCCTTGGGAAAGAAAGGCGACGCTCTTTCAATTTGGGAGAAAGGCTACCAGTGTGCTCTGTGTCAATCTGCAGATCTGAAGCAATTGCTAGAACTGGAAGAGCTTCTGACAACAGAAAAACAAGACAATAACATCGTGGAAAATGGAGCTGTTAAATCTGGATTATCAACCGTTGTTTTTGAAACTGGAGTTACAGATGTTAACCGAAAACTTAGTAAAACAAATAATAGTGAAAATAAATTAATTGAACGACCTGATTTCTGCATGAAGCCAAGTGATTCATCTGGAGTTTGCAGCAGTTCAGGTGACAATCTTGTTGTATGTGAAGGCAAAAGTGAAGAGGTTGTTCAAAACCAAAACATTAATTGTAAAAACAAAGGGTGTAATGACGATAGATATAGACTAAGTGATGCTTCCAAATTGCATGATTTAAGAAGTGAAACGTCTGGGTTTTGTAGTAAATCCAAAATAACTGCTTTTCATAGCAAATCAAGTGATTCC